TACTTTTTCCAAGCTGTTCAGCCTCTATTCACCTTCTTAGACTATCAAAAAAAAACAACCTTCAAGCTTTAACGTGAAGTCAGAATTCTCAGAAAAGTGAAATACTTTTAGCTACAAGCTATGCCTGGACTCTATGCAAATTAATTCAATTCAATTCTTATTGTCATAGGTTTCCTTTACTTCTCGCTGTGGTGTAAATCTTAGCTGCCTATGCTCATTTCAGAAAATACAACCTCCAGTCACCCCTATTTAAAATCTTTTCATTCTTTAACTGATCACAAAGCTATCTTATTTAATTTAAGTACTCACTCAAATTAGACTCATATTAAACATATTATGACATTTCACAACCTTGAGTCTCTTTTTCAGGGGTCCATCAACCCTGTACTTTCATATGTAATTAATGTCATGATCAACTTTGAAGAGCTTGATGAATCCTATAATTACATCTTTAGCACTGCTGTAAATTCACTTGCCCCTGAGAAAACATGGACAGTGTCCTTCAAGTGCTCCTCTACATGGTTTACCGAAGAACTTAATCTTTTGAAGGTTCAAAGGTAGAGACTCCAGTGCCTGTGGGGAAAATCAGGCCTAACTGTTCATTTGTTTGTTCTTAAGGACCAGCAGTTCCACTATGCTGCAATTTTGAAAGCAACTTGCAGTAAATATTATTTATCACTAATTGATGAAGATACAGTAAGGGATTTCCCTTGGCTATTTAAACTAAACCAGCTTATCAATCCTATCCCCACAGTACCCTCTACAGCAACCACTGAAACCACAAAAAAGTGCAACTTTTTTCTTAACCTTTTTAAGGATATAGTTTCCATTATCTGGCAAAATTACAGCTGGTTCAATCTGTACGGTATCTCTTCCTCACCTTACCTGCTCTTTGCAAGCTTTAACAGGGTCTCTTCTGTTGCTCTGTTGACCTTTGTTTCTAGGATGAGTACATCTACATGTTCCTTGGATCCTATTCCTAAAGTATGCCTCTGTTCGAAGCCTGCTTACTTATTCTGATTTAGTTAATCTTAGCTTTGATTCATGAATTTAACCTTTACCCTAACCTACTCTCCAGTTCTTAACTCCAACATCCCCTTCATCTCAAAGGTTCTTGACAAGGCAGTAGCTACTCAGCTACAGTTTACTTTGAGTTCTAAAGATGGCTGTTGCAAATGGTCTCCATCCATCCTTGTTCTGCTTTGTCTCTCAGCTGCTTTTGACACTGTGGACCACAACATTCTTCTGCAGGGAATGAGGGACTATATCTGACTGGATTGCAATAGACTGTAATAGAATTCCTCTTTCCAACAGGCAGCAGTTTATCTCTACGGGGAAAACAAGATCAGAGTTGTCACCAGTGACTTATTGTTTCTCCAGTTGTGTCAGTATAAGGTCAGTATCTGGGCCCATCTTGTTCCTAATCAAATCACCATCACTAGTAACTGAATGTCTATCATTAATGGATATGTTATCTACAGTGGCCAGTAATTTGGGTGTCAATGCTTCCCTCAATTTTTCAAATCAAATAAGAAAACATCTGTAAGTCTTCATATTTCCATTTGAAAAATATCTCCTGGCAAAGGTCTTTTCTCAATTTTGAAGATATTAAAAAGTTAATTATTTTTAATGTCTGGACCTGGACTATTGTAACACTCTCCTTTGTGGTTTTCCCTCAATCACATAAATTAAATTACAACTTATCCAGAACAGTGCTGCTAGGGTGCTCACCAGATCAAGGAAGTCAGACCATATCATCCCTATTCTACCAATGCTCCATTTGCTCCCTGTCCCCCAGAGAGTGGATTTTAAAGGCTCTAAAACACAATGGTCCACTTTACCCCACTGACCTTTTTTTATCAAACTTTTATCTTATCTTATCTTTTAGATAAGGTCAATTCAATCTACTGCAGGTCCCAAAAACCAAACTACATACTAATGCTTCTCCATCTATACCTCCCTGATTATCTCAGAAAAGTGTTTCAAATGATATTTTTTTTACTAAGACCTTACTAAGTCTTTTTAGCCTTTGTTATGTGAATCACATTGGAATTTGTTTTAATGTGGTTTTTAACTGGTTCCATTTTCAGGGCCATGAATGTTTCATTTTCACCATGGCCATCACATCCTTGTACACTGTCATTCCCCACAATGACCCCAAGCACATTCTGGACAAACCCACAGTGCTTTATCTACCAACCCATACTCTTGTATGTCTTGCAGAATTGGTCCTCGCCATCATGGGACCCAGTTAAGCAAATATTTTTGTCGGCTGTGTAGAAGAACCACATGCTCTAATGATTAACTAGAGTATTCCCTGCATATTCTCATCAACTTCCACCCATACCTCAAGTATAACATTAATATATCTTCCACAACTCTTCCATTTTTAGACATAAACCTTTCCATTAACCATCCACGACTCTCAACTTCTGTCTATTGCAAACCCACTGACTCACAAACAGTAGCTCCTATACAGCTCCTTCCACCCCACATAGTGTACAGTACTAAACAGTCCCTTTTTCCCTGTTCCTCGGGTTCAACGATTATACAGTGATGACAAAGATTTCCATAGCTAAGTCTTCAAAATAACTCTTTTTTCATTAACAGAAGATTCCCTGCACATTTCTCTTGAGCCAAAAACAGCCCTTGTATCATCAACCCTCACAGGAAATCCTGGACTCACACCCGCATTCCATTGGTGTTGCTTACCACCCTCACACCCTTTCTATTCCCAGAACCATTAAAGAGAACTTCCCTGTCTTACAGGATGACCCCTTCCTTGGTACTCTTTTTCCCGACTACCCCATTATCTCATATTGCTGATTAATAATCTGCACAACCTACTGTACTTTTTCACAGCTCCCTTAAGTTCCCAGAGCAACCATCCACACCAGGCACTTACCACTGCAACCAAACCCGCTTCATCATCTGCAAATCTAATACAACACAGATGTGTGGACAATTCTGGGTCACCCAGATGACATCATGTAGTTCCAACAACCACATTTACTTAATCTCCTGCAGAAAATGCCCAGCCGTTTACATTGATGAGACAGGAAGAAAACTGGCAGACCATTCAGGGAACATGTCAGAGTGAGGATCAAAGATCTTCCCAAACCATTTACTGTATTTCACCTCGATCTTGGTGAAATAAACACCTTATGCCACGATATTGCTGATTTCTATGTCTGTGTTCTCACAGAGGGGTTTCAGAAGTCCTATTGCCCAAAATTATCCTGAAACTTCCACCCCCTTCTCTCAACAACAGACTCATTTCCTGTTAAATCCGCTATTCTCTATTTATTTGCTGATTTTGGCTTTTCACACCTCTTCAGCTGTTCTCCCTGAGTTTGGACACACATTTTCACCTGCTTTATGCCCATATGCTTCCTGTTCTTCACCCCTTCTAAACTACTGTACAGCCAAAATGTTGTGTCTCTTTCCTTTTTCCTTTCAGCATGGAATCAACCTTTATCTGTTCCTTTGCAGCCTACACATGCTACAGCTACCTACATGAAATGTGCTGTAGAAATTATTTTTATTATTAAAATACATGTAACACTTAAGGAGCTGTTTGAGTGAAAAGCACTGGAGTTGAACAGAAAGTTGCATGTTGAATAAGTCTGTTCTAAAACAAATGCAGGGATAAACTGAAGTATTTTGTTTAATTTTAAACCACAATGCTGTCCTACAACCAGATATGTCATGACATGATACATCTTATCTGTAGGTATAGAAATTGTTTAGCTTGATTAGAGCAAGATTATTTTGATTAATTGCAAATTAATGCTGCTCTCATTAGCACCCACTCAAAGCCCTATTTTCCTCACTAAGATCCATTCCTGTGTGCTTCAAGAGACCTCAAGCACCGGTGTAGTTGTACGAACGTGACTGACAATGTAGCATTAGTGGAACCTATTGAGACAGGAAACTTGTGGTCAGACCTTCACACCCTTAAGAGAGTTTGAGCAAATGTGAGAGGTATAATCTGTAAACACACTTCATCTTTTAAAATATATTTTTTTCCACCAAAGTACATCCCAACCTCAAAGCTATTAGCACGGACATCTGTGTTGTACAGTACACATCACTCATAAATTGAAAAAAAATTCTGAGAGCTACTCAGTATAGCTCTTGGAAGCTACAATTACAAATTATTAAAAAAGCCAAGCAAACTTCTTAAAAAACCTTTTTTTGTGCAAATGAAAGAAGGCTCTTAGGCATGTTTTGTTCATTGTTTTAGTTTAATATCTAAATGAAACATAGTGATTGTGTACATCAATTTCTTAAAAGTGTCTAGAGTCAATCACCCAGCTGGGAAACCTGTCCCAGTCTCCCACAACTCTGTGTATTCTCCATCATCAATTTCATTTTAGTTTCTAATTGTGACTCTGTCTCCTGACTTACCCCTGTCTATATTGCTTAGGATCTTATATACTGTAATCAGATCTCCACTCAAACTAAAGAGATTTACATAAGAAAATGCCTGCACATGAGATTGGGCCTTTCAGCTCTTCTTGTGGTTTTATAGTTTAGTAAATCTTAATTTAAAATTTTATCCAGATGTTTCTTAACCACAAAACAAATTCAAATATATTTCAAGTTTCCTAAATAATTACTTAGAAGTGTAATTATACAGTACTTTATCGTGTTAACTGTGCATCTGCAGCAATGTCACATTTACATATTCATATACAGCTTTAGAAATTTCTTCATCATTACATTTTAAGCACCTAAATACTATAGATCAGACAAACAGTATATGATTTTATTTTTAATAACAAAATAACAATCATTTAAGTCTTACAAAATTGCTCTCAGTAGCCTTTTAAGGATAATGGATTCTGAAAAAGCTCCCATAGGATCTTATAATTCTTTTTCTAACTGTCTGGTTATTTAGGAGATCAGAATGTCAGAGATCTGGTATTTTATTTGTGTAGGATGATGATATTTCATCTAGCCTCCACGATTCCCCCCTGAATGAAACAACTACTTACAGCTTTTTTCCTCTTTGATCACGATGTCTTGTATGCGTGGCTTTCCATCCTTGTCAGAGAAGCGAACCGAAAGAACCATTTTTTTTAGATTTGCATTCTTCTTCACCAGGAATATCTACAGAAGATAAAAAGATATGGTTACTGTAAGTCATACAAATCCAATTGAGAATGTTTCTTGGACCTTCCTTGCTACAAATGTCCCCCGACTATTGTTTATTGTTTCAAGATTGTGATTTTTGTGAGCTCACAGAAAATACATTTAATTGCCAGCAACTACTGCTGCATGCAGTATTGTTGTGCATTTGATAAATAAACATTGATTTGATTTGATTATTGTCATATGTACCTGAGTGCAATGAAATGCATACTTATGTGTTTCCTCAAATAACAAATGACATAAATTATTTCACAAATTGGAGACAAGAACATGAGACAATAACATGTGTGCCATCTAAATACTGTCAAAAAGTAGCAGCAGTATGCATAAATGTACCGTTTGAAGCAATATACATGAGAAATACAATAACAGTAGTATACATTAGAAGGGTAACAAATGTAATCTTCAGCAGCATTCAAGTAGCAGCGATGTGCAAATTTTAAGGGACCTATTGTACAGGTAATTAAAATTTAAAGTTGTAAGAGGATGAACTATGCTGTGGTTAAAAAACAAACCTGAAGAGCTATTGCAAACATCATTAATACTATATATTGATATATATCCTAACAAATAATCAGTGTTCGTTACTGTTTATCACTTTTCACTTATGAGTGATAAAATTAATTTGCTAAGTGTTTGCCAGTGCATATTTTAATCTCTTTTTATAAGCCACTTGCTTATGATTCTGTGTTTGTTAATTTCACTAGTTTTGGATTTACCTAGTTGTTTTTTTAAGTATACCTGAATCTAAATCACTGATAAAGTCCAGGAAAAGTAAATGGGGCTAAAATGGGTCCCTGCAGTACACCACTGCTTGCATCTGGTCTGTACAGCATATGAACACCACCCCATGTTTTCTTAAATACAACTGGTAATACAGCATCATACCCTTGTCAGGTATTACATTTAAGACTATAAATTGTTAACAAAAGGTACAAATACGGCAAAAATGCTCAAATTGGGGTGATGTAATTATTGGAGTACCACAGGGATCTGTATTATCTATATGAAGAGCTATGAACAATAATAACAATATTAACAAAGTGCCAATGATAAAAGGTACCATGTGTTTCTACACATTAACTTCTAAAAGTGTGCAAATATTACATAATGTGCATACATTAAACTATGAACTTAAAATTACTGTTATTTCCTTTAAAAATAAAAAAAATAGAGTATCGCATGCATGGCACTTAACTGGACAGAATGTGGAGCAGTGGGTAGTGTTCTGGAAGGATGTGGGTTTCAATCCCAGGAAACACTAATGTTGCCCCTTTTGTGCTATGTGTCACCTGAATTGCTCCAGGAAAATATCCAGCTGTATACAGTATGTGGGTAAAAATGTAAGTTGCTTTAGATAAAAACATCAGTTTATTCAATTTGGAATAAAATAAAGCAGAGCTTGAATCTGGTGTATGTGTGTGCATACAAGCTAACCTGTCGTTTTTAATTAGAACAGTCAACCACAAATTCACAAGACTGATATTAAGTGAACTTCCTCTTCAAATAAATTTAGACACTGTCCTTCTATGCTAAATGACTTCAATAAGAAACTCTGCATGCATAACAGAAGTGTGGAAATGAAATATAGGACCTAACAAGAAGGAATAATCAAATACAGCCATCACATTACCAATCTGTGTTTCTCTCATCAAACAACTGAGCTGTTGCAGCAGTACCTTTCTTTTGTGCCTCTTGGGTTAATTTGATTTGGAAAGTGCATTTCAAAATGCATGTTCATTGCATAATGCAAACATAGAGTGCCAGTGCATCAATCAGCATCACACACATTCTCGACTAGAATCAACTGTGTTGTTGTGCGTTTCAATAAAATAAGACCCTATCCTCTCAGAATGAACATTGTAGCATATTGCTAAGCACATTAGGTATCTGTGAAAAACAAAAAGAGGATCTTCCCACAAATAGTGCTCCCCCAAGTGGTGGCTGGAAACCATCACTCCATCCATTTTCCAACTGCTTTATCCAATACAGGACCCAATACAGAATACAGTGTATACCAGCAAGTAATAGGCACAAGGTGAAATAAACCCCGGATGGGTCACTAATCCCTTCCAGGGCACAGACACAAAAACATGTACACATTCACATCAAGGCACAGAAGCCTATTACTCTACTAGTATTAGTCTAGTAGAAAAAAAAATTGACTACCTGGTGGAAACCCATGCACACATGGGAGAAATATGAAAACTCCATGCAGATAACAACCCAGGTCCAGAGTTAAACCCTGGGCACTATCACTGCCACCCACTGTGCCACCATCCCAGCTGGAAACCACAGTATGCGCAATATCTGTCAACTACTTTTGTAACTACAGAATGGGCAAATATTGTAATTAGGACCTAGCCTAATTAATATCACTGCTAAAATTAATCACCATCACTATTACATCTACTCAGACTTATGCAGAAGGAAGAATTTTCTAAGCTTATAAAGTCTTGAAACTCCAGGGTCATTAAAGTAGCTTTTTTATTATCCTATGTTTTGAAATGCAGGCAATGTGGCCTTGTTTACTTTATTGCCTTACTGGTTTTAAGTCTATTGGTCGACTTTTGGCTGCTTTAAAAATATTTGTAAAAATTAACAATAAATGTTAAAATATTGTATGCGTGACTGGGGACCCTTTGAAAGCTGGTTTCTCATTTCACTGCTCCCACACTTTTAAGCTGCTTGAAATGCTTAATCAGAATTTAAGCCTTAGTGCAAGTTGAATATTACAATATGAATATTACCAGCGATAGTTAGGATTAGTGCTTAGATTCACATAAAGGAGACAGGCTTTGAGCACTGGTCTTCTAGTGAGTGAAAGTGAGCAAATTACTTATTATACATGACTTATATGCTTTTTTCCTACAGTATATTGAAAGAAATACAAAAATAAAATTGTACAGGGAAATAACAGTATGGCTGTCTAACTTCTGAATAAATACAATAGAATAAATTAAAGTAAAGCAAAATAGAAAATGTAAAATATATGAAGGCAGGGTTTCAGGACACTAACATTTCAGTACAAAATTATACTATATGAAATGACAGTTGTGAGGTGATTCTGCAATAAATAAGGCAATGCCTATTTTAATATAAAATCTATCAATAAATAAGTTAGCACATTATGTAAATGCCTAAAATATGAGATATGGCACTACATACTATATTATTTAGATACAAGATCTCACAATAAATAAGGCAATATATTATTTATTTATTAATTCACATATTCACAAAAAAACAGGTCCAAATAGATGTTTGATCTGTGAGGAGACATAAAGCTTTCTGACTGCTACAAAAAAGTGTTTTTATCTAAAGAAGGTGAACAAGAACGGGTCAAAAAATACTATTTTTTACAAAAGTAATAATCTAAAAGGTCTATCAGTTTGGGAAGCTTATAACATTAGCTACTCATGTTTTTACTAAAGAAGGAAGCAAGAAGGTTGGGCAAAAAAAGAAAACACTCAAGGAACATTGAAAAAATAAGACTGATGCAACACTGTGTGTCTGAATGCTCTCACAAATCAAATACGAGACATATCTAGTTAAATATTCAGGATAGACACAATTAAGGCCTGACAGAGATATAGAAAGGATATTATGGTTCTGTGATATGACTACTGCATTAACAAAATAAAACCTTGAATCACTGAAGGTCAAGAAAACACTTATGGTTAGTACAGAAGAGTTATCTCACACTTTTTGCAGAAAGACAATGTAATGTCAGAAGGAGGACAAAAGCACATTTCTACCTTTGTTTTAGCATTATTTCACTAAATGATCCTCAAATCCTTATTATATAATATTATTTATATATATATACGATGCCATATCATCTTTAGTCTTTAAGTATCCTAGAATGTGCATTCCAAATCTATACTTTTGTTTCTTCTTCTAATAGTTTCCTTAATCTATTTTATTTCATACAAGAACAAAAATTGTTCTAAAAAAGATATCTCCCATCGAACTTTGCGGTGAAATGGCAATGTTTTGAAACAGGCACAACACCGCATCATAAGGTTTACAGTGGGGGTTGGGCTACATACTGTAGTTGGTCAGGGGAAGTGGGCATAACAACAACAGACTAGATGATTTTACACACTGATAATGGATCTAAAACGGGCAATAGTGTTAAAATAACGCACACCATCTCTGAAAAACTGAAACTGTTCTGTGAATTTCAAATGTTATGATGAGATTAAATTGAAAATGCAGAATGCAAAGTAATATCGTTCTGCTAAATTGCAAATCAGCATCTTATTTTATATATCATTGGTTTACAAATAGTTTGATCCTACTGAGTTGCAAATCTTTGTCTCTAGATACATTCCTGCTCAATTCCTGCTATTTCCTATTATTTAAAAACTGAAGTTGTTTGTATAAATGTTATTGTAAAGAAAAAAATAACTCATTATAAATTATAAATTATAATTTGTTGAGGAACTACTTGATACAAAGGTATGACGCAGCACTTTCCTGTGGGACCTATTGAAGAACTGATCTCTTTCTTTACTTTTTAGTATCATAGTCCTGTAGTCTATAGGACAACTACAAAGGTCTTTACACCTTACACCTAGGTTAACTGCATTAATGTCCAAGCAGATAGGATCCTGATATCCAAAACAGTTCCCTCATGGTGCACAAAATGTGTTTTTTTTATAATCTGATTATTAACAACAGAGATCCAAGAAACATAAATGTTACAAATAAAGAAAAGCCTTTTGTTTTGTTTGGTGTCATTCACACTGTCAGTATGAATAGCATGGCAAATGCTCCAAGAGACATACAGTACTATAAAACGGACTAATTCATCAATCTTATTTTTGTATAAAACTGCGATCAAATACATTTTAGTTATAAATATCTTTTAGTTATAAACACGTAATTTATTAAGACAACACTGAGTATTCAAATTTTTGTTTGAAATAAATTATGTAATTTAAATTTAAATATGCATTGTGGTTAATTGACAATCACAATGAAAATGCTCAAAGTCTATATAAATTGATTATTTAATGCTTGTCTATACAGCCTGTAAGACTGAAACTTTCCAGGACGATAAGTGGGCACCTCTGCAAAAATAATTTAGTATTGACTAAATTACCTTTACTATGCTGTGCAAGAATACAGATTCCCTGTAATTTTTTTTATCTGTTTAAGCTATTAGTACATACCAATGGTCAACATATATACTGTATATATAAAAACTTCGGTAGCATTAGACATAAGGATTAGATTTTAATTTTTAATTAAAAAATATATATATATTTTTTGTCTTATTGTTCAACACTGAGGAACATAATTGTCGCACATCCTCACCCCTGGAGGTTCCCTCTGCAGGATTTCAGAAGCTCGTTCTGGGCTAATGCCCAGCTGGAGCCAAACTGGACAAGTCTTGATTAGTTTCTCCAGAATGCTGATGCTAGGCAGGACTAGCTGATTCTTAACAGGAGAAGTGGGCTCGCTGTGGTTGCTCCTGCTGTTGGTTTCCAGTGTGGTCCTGAAAGAAGAGGAAACTGACATTAGTCAGGTAGGTGTTTGTTCAATGAAGTGTGCATAAAATGTGAAGAGCAGGCAACAGTCATCTAACTATGCCAGCCACATATTTACAGCACATATGCAGTGGTCACTCACATACTGTAGTACTGCTCCTAGCTGTGGTTACAAGTGTTGTAACTGAAAATGCTAGATTATCAATTACAGGTACTTCTGCTTTTAATATTTCTTTATGGTGTGGAAGGAATCCTAGCTTTTGGCTTGCAAAGTTTGCATCTGATATACCATACACAAGTGGTTTTAAATTCTGGTCCTGGTAACTCACACACCTACTGGTTTTTATTCTATCCCACCTTAATTCGATAATTGAAGCCTTTTTTTGATCATGTATTTTGCTTCTAGTCACAAGTTTGGGATTTTATTTCATTTACAAAATCCAAGGGTTAAATCTTCAAAATGTTTAAGAGCTGGGAACAAACAGTTTAAATTACTTGTATTATTATTAAGTCAATGAAAGGTCTGATTGTGTATGGTAACTGAGGGCTCAGCTGGAACAAAAAACAAATGGTGAGTGTGTCAATGGGACCGGGATTGGGAACCAAAGCCATGGAATCCCTCTGGCTGAAAATAAATGTCATTATGCAGTGTTGCAGAAACCAACTGCTAATTTTCAATACAGTTGTTCTAGTGGACACACTAGAATTGTCTTAAAGGTCTACAAATAATTGTGACACATGCAACATCACCAAATCCCTCTCAGTTAAGTTATCTTATCCCACAATACATATTCTCCAACAACAATAAAAAAGGGGTGAGTGCAGACAATCATTTGAATGCTGTGATGTTGAAATACGTATTGTTTGTCAATAAATGAGTGCTGATCACTTTCAGAGATCTAGAATCAGTCTGGCACTTGTGTAGCATCTGTAATTATACACTTTGTAGTCAGATGAGGTTAAGATTCGCAGTTTGATTAGATGCATATCAGATACAGTATGAAAACAGGAAAACAATCTAAGCCAAAAGCTTGGTTTATGTCACTGTAATGCCAGATTTGACAAATGCTAGGTGGAAACAAATCCTAGAGCACCTGCAGACAGGCTCCTCAGTGTAGATGCAAGGTCTTTTGATGTGCAACTTGTTGCAAATATCGAAATATACTGCCAAGTAACTAAGAGCAAGACAACTTTTTTTGCAACTAAACAGGCAAGAGGCACCAGGTTTCTATAGTTCTTGCTGGTGTATTTCGCGGATCAGATTCAACCCCCGAAATCAAGCAAGTTTTGAAAATATTTTTTGGTATTAAAGAAAAATGCTGTGTATTTTTTTTAAAGAAATAATATAAAGTAACCTGCTATTTATTAATTAAGCTGTGCTGCTGTATCCTAATTACTATAGTCCCCTAAAACGTATAAATGGATTCCAGCTTTGCTGTGGGTAAATCATGATGGACTAGTATGGTAGAGGTAAGTACTTTTAGGCCAGTACCACCAGCATAAAGGTTGTCCACTGCAGAGGGGTGTCCAACAGTATGTGTCCACCCTGAGGCAGTTGGCAGACTCAAAGAGAAAGAAAAGCATTTTCTGTCAATATGGATTGCTCTGGCTGATTGGACACACTCTGTGGGTGGTCTGTAATGTAGTTGACATGGGATATTCTCAATCCAACGCCAATAGATATAAAAGAAAAACAGGCACATGTCATTGAACTTTTCATATGTATTAACAAAACAACAAATAGTTGATCATATATAAATACTCCACAACTTCATTTCTTTACCAGAAAGAAAAAAAACTCCCACAACAAATGAACAAACTTTTAATATTTACAACATGAAGAATAATAGCAATCCAAAATCCCAAAACTTCCAAACTCCTATTCAGGACACTGTGTGAAACCCAAGTAGCTATGGCTGCATATTTGAGAAAGGTTGATGTTGCTTTTATTGTCCAATGATGTTCTGTAGGCATGTAATACAAACTGTGAACCAAAACTATGTTTAAGTGTAGCCTAGTAATATTCACATTTTTTCACTATGAGCTAAATTTTAGGAAATTTAAAGAAATATCCTCCTAGCTCTCTTCAGTTAAGAAAATGATCAAAACCTGATTTAACTTCTTAGTACGTTCTTTTTGGATTATTTCAGATGTCACTTCTGTAAGTCATACTATCCATTATTTTGTATAATTCCAATGCTTGAATTTGTCTGACCTCTATTTAACTGTATACTATAAAGTGAGGCACATCCACCAACTATATTAGGACCACATCAACACAGATTCCCCTGAGTGTTACTATTTTAAGGTGAAAAGATCAGTTTGCTCCATTTTCATACAATGGAGAAAAGTTCACATGTAAACAGAGTCCCCATCTCTAAAAGAGATTGCTTACAATCACATGCTTCATAATCAGTCTAGAGACATATGGAACACCTCTTGTACAACAACGATGTTAAAAATGTTGTTCCAAAGCAATTTTACTAAAAAAAGAAAAGAGGAATTTGAAATAATTTTGTTGTAGAGAGCCATTATTGCAGCTGATCTTATCTGAGACACAGCCTCGGAAATGCAATAAAAGACCTCTCTACAGAAGGCCTGCCATAAGCACTTACCTGGGTTGCATCTCACTGGCATTTGGTCCACTTGGGAGCACATTCCTGTTAGAAAAAAGAAAAGTTTTTGTATGTTTTCATTTGGAATCAGCAATTATTTTTCTTAAATAGTATATCCATCCAATTTGGTACTTGCAATTGTGTTGACTTGGCCCTCTGAAAATAATGCACACTGACAGTCCCCTGAAACACTCACCTGCAGAGTCAGTCTGCATCAGATGCACTCTTCTGCACCTGACTCTGACTGGGGGATGCAGCATTCCTCACTGATCTCACTGAAGTCACTTTTTGCCTGGAGGAGAGTCCCGAACAACTAATCTCAGCTCTGCGTCAGTGATACTCTCATCCATATGCTGCTGCTTGGGGAATTTTAAGCAATAGCTGACAATGACACAACTCAAGTTCAGACCAGCAGTGTATGGACCGCAGTGCTCAACCTGCTCTAAGAGCAAGTGTCTTTGTTCATTGGGTCACTCAGGATTCCAGAACTTTGTCACAATGTGTCCATTCTCAGATCCATACCTCTGAAAAATGTTATTTTTATAACTATTTGCACCTGATTATACAGCATTTCACTAATAATGTTCTACTTTTTAAAACAAAAGCCTTAAATATTATCTGGCATTCTTTAAAACACACATATGTAATGTTTAATATAAAAATGCATGCTACGAATAGTTGCCTATGGTTGAATAAAGACGTATGCCATTTTTTTCTGTTTCTGGGTTATGTGCAGGAGAAACTTAGTTCATATACTCAGTCTAATACAGTACGGTGTACAGTATGTGGTAAGTGTGTACAGTGAAACAGAAAACAGTGATGGAACAGATAACAGCTGGAATATTGTGAGACAGATAACCAAATCAAAGCAAAGGCTACAGCTGTCTGTCAGTGAAATATATTGTCATAAAAACACTTAAAATAAATATTTTTTAAATGTTCTATTGATGCGTCTTGGAAATGCAAATATTATTATTAATGTTGCAGTTTCTGGATTGTTCTGGGTCTCAGTGTTCTGGGTCTCAGTTTTAAATAATGTATTAATATTTTAGTGTATCTGCATGCACAGAGGTTGCACAAATGATGTTAGAATCACTGGTGAGTACCGATGCTACTCAATTTGTCAATGTAGCCATCAAAACAGAAGCATTTTAATATTTCTAAATTAATCAAAATGCATCTCTGGACACAATGTTCTGCAACTGCCCACTATTACAATAACCATATGGTTGATAAAATCATTAAAAAATAATCAAATAATGACATTATTAAATTAAACTATCAATTCACATAAATAATTAAAGTACAAACAAGCAGTGAATGTTTTTCAGCATTTTTGATTATGATCTAACAACACAGAGAGGACAAATTTAGATATTTTATATCAAGTAGATTTTCATATACAGTTCCATAACTAGTAATTAGTTATATATATATTTTATTTTTCAGAATAGTGAGAAATTCTGCAACAGAGGTTATGAAAGTACAAACAAGTGGAAAACCTTAACCAATACTATAAGACAATGATAAAATGATACAATACCAAGTACCTTTACTGTTAAATGCAGGTGGTTTCCTCAGTTTAGAACTGAGGAAAGTCCACCTTCATTTAAGTTCAAGTTCACCTTCAAAGTCCATCACTGGGGTTGCCGTCCCATCCATACAGGACATTTATGACTGATTGTGCTTGAGGAAAGCTCTAAGCCTCATCAAAGACACCACACACCCCAGCTACAGACTGTATGACCCTCTACCATCTGGAAAATGGTACCGGAGCATTCGGGCCCGGACTACCAGACTCAGAGACAGTTTTTACCCATGCACTATCAAACTATTAAAGTTTGATACTATTAAACAGCCTCTCTCACCTATGATCTGAACCTCACACTGCCTTCTTTGTTATCATAAACTCAAACACACATTGAAATCTACCTCTACTTCACACGTCAAAAAGCTCACTCCCCATAATTTTCTATCCTTTATTTAATTCTGTTGATGTATGTTTTTGCACATCTTACATTGTTTTGCACATTACCTGTTGCCTTTTGTTGTTTTACACATTGCCTGTTTTTGTTTTGCACACTGCCTGTTGTCTCTGTCTTTCTTTTATTATACAATTGTATTGTTGTTTTTTTGTCCGAGACTTATCGTCCGAGAGCAAGCTAAATAGCATTCATTATACCATATACCTGTATATGAGTAAAATGACAATAAAAGTGAACTTGAACTTAGAATCAATATGTATAATGTATATACTGTAGTTTTTAATGAGTTTTCTGGTATGATTTTTTTTTCTAGAAATACCCATCAAGGAATGAATATAAACTCCCCTGACAAATTTCCCTGAAAAAGAATAGCAAAAGCATGTCTGACTGGGCCAGGTCAAAGTCAGTACTGTGTTGGAAGAGCTACTGTATAAGGAAACAAGGTTACTGCAGGATATTGTGGACCCGACCAAAATCACCAATGCAGTGTCATATTACAGTGACAAGGAACACCTTGTTCAGATGTTATCTATGGTATTAGAAGAGATATTAAATTGACTCCTTGTCTACTTAGTGAATACTTACAGTAGATTTTCTCTAAAAGACTGTCATGAAGTTCCCCTTTCATTCAGCTGGTGAACTAAGTTTGCATTTCTCTACCTGCATTGCTTCGTAGTGGGTGCTGCACTTCAGGGGCCTTTGAAAAGAGTCCTCTCCTTCAATATGTAAAGCACTTTGAGATGCTCTGTGATGAAAAGTACTAATCAGAAATTACTACTAAAAGCTTATCAGAATAATCTCTTTTTGGTCAATCCAAAGGGTTAAACAGTAATACAAACTTTTTGTAGCTACTGTATGTCGGCATGCTTAGGTTGCAAAGGAACAAGTAAAGGATTATTCCATTATTCCGTTGTGTTTTCTTTCTTCTCTTTTCAGCATGGAAAAAACCTTTACTTGTACCTTTACAAAGGTTTTGTACCACTTTCCTTCCATATAGATATCCACAACTCATATCCATGCACATGGTGAAGAAACAGGGCTTGGATGGATCTCGTAGAGGAAAATCTTATGTGGCACATCTCAGTACTCAATATGGGCTTTTCACAACAGGAGACGATTTTCACTTATCTGAAGCACATACTCTTTTTTATCTCCAATTCCCAACCAATAATGATCTCAATGTTTAAAAAAAATGTATATTCATGCTTTGAAGTTTAGGTGACAGATTACTTTTAAAAAATGTTTTTTACAAAGACAGCAACCGCAAAATCTTCATTTGGGTTGTTTGTAGTTAATACATTAAAACAAAAGTAATACGTTTGATTAAAGATGGAATAACTAAAACACAAGGTAAGTACTGCATGAGTACAGTCCTCGAGGTACAGTTCAGCATGCCATTTTCTTACTTTTAAAGTGCAAAATCAGTGAAGGAGACACAACCATATCCTCGCAATATTTTTCCTTTAACTTACATTTGAAGAGGAAACCAAACTCACAAATGAGCCTGGAAAAATCGAGACATCCAAACAAAAGTCCCAGCTGCACATACTTTGCCCATGAGCTCACTTACTGCTCCTAAAGTACTCAGCGTCCCTAACTGAAGCTGTTCATTCCAGTGTTTACATCAGTAGCAGTTACTGTAGATGTAGCATAATTTCACATTTAATTAACTCTTAAAATAACAAAAAATATGTGTATTTGTGGAGGTGTTGATTTATCTTGTACAGTAAATGAAAAATGCAAATATAATAGCTGAGATTTTGAAACGCAACACTGTGAGTGCTGGAATTCAGATGCTTATTTTCAATTAATGCAACCCCAAATCAGCAATTCAACTATGACATTTACTGCCAGACAAAAAATATTCTAAAATATTATAAAATGCTCAGTAATGTTTTGGTTTTCTGTAAAGGGTTGAAGGTTTTCAGCAGTAAATCAGAGTTTGACCACAGACTGATGTAATTTCTGTCAGGATTTTTACATTTATTGCAACAACGAAATCAGTGTGCTTCCCCAAAAAAACAGTTTCCTGCAAATACTGTACTTAATGATAACTAAATCAGCCTTTCATGAAGCCATTCAGAAAGGAAACAAGGAACTTAATCGAGAAAGGATCAATATACAGGTGCTAAATTCAGTCAAATTTGTCTAGAAAAAGTATAGAACTCAACAACTACCACAGCTGTCTACCACAAGAGCTACTGTATAACTGATTTAATCCAATGGGGTTTAGAGTTACATAAATGTATTTCTATCAATGTGTCCTTTGTCACTGCTCACTTCTGCTTTCTGAACTAGCAAACTAATTATTATTACTGCTTTTACCAGTGACATGACTGGAAAACAAAATTCAGATACATAATTTCTTTTTTAAAAAGAAAGTCTAGATACTTTCCATTGGAATATGTGCAAGAGGTCCGACAGAAATATATTTAATAAATTTAAGAAGATTCTATATAAAATACATACACTGTAGGTTCATTGTATACATGTATCAGTCATAGAGACAACAATATATTTTGTTTTGCTGGGTAGATTTACGATATGTACTGAAGGCATTCTTTCGATTGCCCAGTTTTGAATAAACAAAAAACTGCAGATTACATTTGCTTGACCTCTCTTTAGTGCCTTTTCTAGTTGAGAGACACGATTTTGCATGCTACCAGCTTTCATTTTCAGTTCACTACATGGTTTTGCAAATGCAATGCAATTAGCTAATTTCTTTAACAGCGTGAAAGTCTTGTTTGACCATGACTGCATTCATACTCCTCTTGTCTCCAAGCATTTAATGAATAAAATGGAATCACTGATGAGACTCCTGAATAAGACATGGTTCCTTTTGAAAAAGACAAAAACAAATAATTAATGTTTTCAGCAGTATTGCCTAGTCTTAAACAATACACTCACTGTGTTTTACTTTCAGAAACAACAAAATAAAACAAAATAATTCTGAAAATTAGACGTTACCACAATTAACAAGTCTTTGGTCATCTACTGTATGTGTTCCTCAAAGAAGTGTCCCTGTTGTCTTTACCAAATTACGTGTTTTTTTACAAGCCAGTAAGGCCAGAAAATGCATGTGCTGTGAAGAATTAATGCAGAATTAAAAATTCAAATGAAGAATCTGCAAGGTGATGGGTTTGACGATCAAGGGTGAAATAGCAGATTTTTATTTCACAAACTGCCTCTTGTATGCTTTCTGGAATTCTAGTAAATCAGTCACTCATTCAGATGGCCATGGCCTTGGTCTACAGACAGTACACTATTGTATACTGCACAAAACAGAGCTAAGAATAACGTCTAGTGCTAGAATGTTAGCTTTGCATATGGCAATTATTGTTTTAAGGGAATAGGCTTATCCAACAACAGAAGTAAAACATAACATTTTGACAAGAGTCAAAACACCCTGATCACTGTTTTTAGTTCTAATCAGTAAAGATGGCAATTTTGTATACACAAATGCTATTCCTTCTCCTGGATTAAAAATAATTGCTGTAGTGGGAGCATTGCAAGTGATATTTTGAAAAGTGATAAATATAGCTGACATTCAATTTTACACATGTAAGACCACCTTTCAAAATTGTTACTTGTTTTTACTATATATATATAAAAAACATTTTGATTTGCATGTCCTGGAGAAGAAAAAATAAAAAGATTATGGAAATATGAGAAATGAAAATTGTGCAAATAACTAGGGCAATGGAAAATAGAGTAAGGAGTGTCTAAAAGTTTGAAAAGTTTATCTTACCGCCAAAAAGACTAAGAGACTAGCTGAATATTTAGATAGTGCAAAAAAATGCTGATTTTTAAAAAAGTCAGACAGACCTAAAGGAAGGCAGTTCTACTTGGCTACATCTGTCAGGAAACATATGTTCTTTTTTTGTTGAGCAAATTTTAAAACAAATTTTTTCATGTCTATTTAAAACGAGTTGCCTTGAGATTGAAAAATACTTCTCTATCTTTCATTTCTCGTTACTCCATCAGATTAAATTACAGTATGTATAAAACAGCTACTGTATAAAGACATCTTGGTCGACAAAGCGTGTTATGAAAATTTAACCAGAACATTGCCAGAACATCACAGCTTCTGACATAAAACATTATGATCTTCCATGATCTTTATACATGTATATTAACACAATATGAATGATTTAATTATATAAGAATGTTATGAGACAGATTCAAATACTGTCCCCATTGTAATGTACCAAGACAAAAACCTTGTGCTTATATTGTTGCGTTTGCGAATCTTACTTTAATTAGTGATTGAATAATTTTCTGAGAGTTAAAAAATTAAAACAAGGGCAAAGGTGCTGACTGGAAAAGGCACTCATGTCCTGAGAGAGAAACCATGTGCAAGACAGAGGTTTGTGATCTTAAATGGCAGACTACAGTAAAATTGATTTGAAACAGATGACATCAGACAGGAATCTTGGAAAACAATGCGAAGACATTAACTTTAGTAGCATGGACCACCTTGACCGCACACGATACAGTACATATGCTGAAGAATACATATGTACTTCATTTATTTTCATGTCAAGAATGTTGGTAGAAAGGAGCGCTGCTCAACAGAATAATGTATTTATGAGTGTGTTGTGTTTCTAAATAATTTCAGGCCTGCAGACTTTTGTAATTCTTAGGTCAAAGGTCAGTCAGGAAGGTCTATTTATTTTATCTAGATCAGAATATAATTATCTTTATTTCTTTTACTTTAATACGTTTAGAGGTGTTTTTAAACAAGGCTGATTTGGTTATATTTCATTTGTTCAATGTGTAATTTTTGTAAAGAGACAGTTTACCTACAGTATATATTTCCTGTATACTACATTGTTTTACATCTTAATGATCAACAAAATCTATAACCAAACCAGCTGTTCAGCATATTTAGCATATTTATTTCAGTTTCCTACTTCACATTTTGTTTTCAAATGAGTGGTTATAAATTATATTATATGTATCGTATTATTACCTGATTCTATTAATCTGCCGAAGCAATTCACAATAAAGGTTATAACCTTTTCTTTTTTATACCATAATATAATAAAAACAGTTCTAATTACCTGGTTTAGAGTAGTTTTTTTATTTTTGTAGTGGAATTATGGAATTCATTCTGATTTTTTTGTTTTTTACTTTACAAAAACAGAACATGCATTATTTCAAACACAAAAGTAAAAAAGTTTGAAAATGAACAGAACATACAAAGGGTTACGACATTTTGGATGCACGCCATGTTTTCCAGACAACATTCAACAGAAGGTTTTAAGACTTCGAACTTCACTATGTATTTTGGACTTGGCATAAAGGACTATAAACAACCAATCATTACAGCAGTCCATAATATTCTATGGGTAAACAAATAAGAGAAACAGCTTTGTTTATAAGCTACCTCAGCACTATTAAAATAAGAATTTGTTTTACAATATTTATTTAAAAAAATGTAACATTAATTAAATTTTCCTCAAAGGGACTAAAAGGACTCTTCTCTTAAACAAAATCAATAAATGTTATATTTATTAAAAGAGATGTTTTAGATGTGAAATTTTGTTTAGTGTTGTCTGGTTTTCCTATTTTGTTTTTTATAACTGAAAGTTGTTGAGATTTGTCATTTGCTTTCTGCTTGCTATTCAGCTAGACTACATAATTACTCTTCAAAAGACTTGACTGAATATCTATTAAGTAACAACTACAGTACTTAACTGTTTTAAACTTGGCTCTAAAACCGCTACAGATGAGAAAAAATATTAATTGTAGTGGAGTGATAAAATCAAAGAAATCAATTTGGGAAAATAGTTGGTTGCCTTAAAGAAATCTCTGTGTACTCACTTAATTCCTTACAAAAGAGGCTTACATACCCTGGAGAGATTCCAGTTTCCTGTGTGAGTGCAGATGCTTTAATCATCACTGCACTTCAGAAGGGACTCGAAGCGCTGCAAGTCTTCTTAGTCCATCAAACCTCAAGCCCCCGTTATCAGGTGATGTTCACCTCCGGCACCATTCTCTTCTCATAGGATACCTCTTGATCTCTGTCCCCCGCTGTGCAGCAGTAGTTCAGATGGGCCTCTGTGAACACGCTTCTTGGTGTGGTAGTTGGGAACAGGCCATGGAAAAAAAAAAACTCAAGTTGAGTGCAGGAAAGTCTGTGCAGTGCTCTCTCGGTTTGCACAACTTCCTGTATTTGTGTGAACGGGGATGTCAGGAAGAGGCTGTTCTGCTCAATTGTCAGCCTGCCCCTCTGTGTTTTTTTCTCCCTCTCTCCCTTTCACAACGTTTTCACTGATATTTTTCCACAGAAATGTTGTTTCTAATCGTGGTAGCTGGCAGCAGAAGGCCGGAAGGGCCTTTTTTTCCCCATAGTGGGAGTAAACTTCTCTCTAAGACTCAGAGTGCCAGACAAAATTTTAAGTAAACTTTTTTTCTCTTGGAACATGCCTAGACAGCGCTGAGATTAGGCGTTGTTTGAGAAAAGAGTACTCTGAGTGGCTGTAAACTTGCCCCCCACCCCTCCTTCATACACACACACTTACACCCAAAACCCCCCTTCTCACAGTACTTTTGCCTGTCTAAAGTTAAATGGAAACAGATGAACCTGGTCTGGTAGTCATGTAGCCCACCAGAAGACCTTGGAATGTGGAAAAGGGGGAAGGGACGACAACTGGCTAATGTCAACAGACGCTCTGAATCACTTTGCAAATGTCCTGGATTATATTATTATTATCTCCTGTATACACAGGGAGAAGAACTTATTAAATAATTTGAGAAACAAAAGGAGTGATCATGAAAAAACAGTTAATATCATAGAAAACCATGTATACAGTATTTTCATGTATAAGTCATATAGTGTATATACAGTGTATGTACAGTTTATATACATAGGATACATATGTATGTACACATATACATGGTAAAAATAACAATAAGAAGAATTATATGTTCAATGAAGCATCTTTCAATATTTATTGCCTTAATTTATCTGACTTATCATGTGTACAATGAAAGTACTTTTGCACTAAAAACATGATGCAGAGGAATTCCATATACCAAGATAAACTGCTAAAAAGAATAGTTACATTATACTAATTAAATACATATTGCAACACCTACAGTAAGTGTAACAGCTTCCCAAATAAATAGTGGTGCATGACTTGCGGTTAGCCACTTTTGTGGTTTGTCATAGGCATACTGTACATGAGGAGAAGGGTATAAAGAATTTCAAAGACATTGAATACATTTAGCTCTTTAAACATGGAGTGTTGCACAACCTAGACACTCCCTCCATAATGAGCAGCAGGTAAGAAGGGAAATGGCTAGAGACGCCACCTTGAGGCCAAAAGCAACTTTGAAAGAGCTACAAGACTTCAATGAGTGAAGTGGGAGAAAATGTTCATTTGTCAACAAAACGCAGTCACTCCACAAAGCTGGCCCTATTTGTAATGAAAAAAAAACATCTCAGAACCTACATGGAGTTTGCAACAAAGGATTTAACTGATGCCGCAAATGTGTGACCAAATGTGTTGTGGTCAGATGAGACAAAATTGGAACTTTGTAGCCTGAATGTATAGCATTTTGTCTGGTGCAAACTCGGCTCTATGCATCACTCAGTCAACACCATCAATACTGTTAAGCATGGTGATGAAATCATTAAAGTAATGGAGGTACTTTATCAGAATGTATCTCAGAAGGTACGGGGAAGTTGTCAAGATTGAAGGAAAACTTATCTGAGTAAAGTACAGGCGAATCTTATAGAACAACCTTCTTCAGTCTGCTTAAAACTTCTGGGATAATAACTCAGTCTGCTAAAAGCTGGGACAATAATTTATATTTCCTTATGATAATGACACAAAGTACAAAGTTATATGGGAGTGATTTAACAAGAGGAAAGTGAATACCTTTGACCAAAACTTGAATCAAATAGAAAATATGTGGCAAGACTTGAAAATTGCAGTCCATCAATTATCTCCAAGCAACTTGACAGCCCTGCGACTCCCCTTACTGGATAAAGAGGTTAGAAAATGGATGGATGAATCACATACCACCTGCATACAGTATTTGTAGGTTAGCTTCCTACTTCTACGTATACAGTAAGTCGAAAAATCGGAATGCCGTGAAAATTTTAGTGGCAATAGTATAGTCTATTGCCCAATATATTCTACTGCGAGACGTTAGGAGTACCAAAGAAATGTATTGTCAAGACCTGTAGGTCAGATTTGATTTAAAGAAAAAACAGGAAATTGTGCATCCAACTCAATGAAAGATTAAGCACAACTTGGAACAGACTAGGAGATGAAAAAAGCCGCTTCCACAGTTCCTGAAAATAGAAGCAGGAATGTGGAGGGAAAATAATTGATTCACAACCTCAAGAGTATTAGGGGTTTTACGTTCTGGGTCATCCTATATGGCAGTGTTGTGCACCTCTACCCAGAAAGGCAACTGTGATCTTGTTCCACCTGTGCTCTTAATGGCCTATTTGAGCTAAGCATTTGCTCATTTGGACTAATTTAATTTGGACTCTTCAAATACCTTCAGCTGTTAAAAATTTAAAGAGACCTAAAAGAACATGCTGGATTATGTCCAGATTAAGTCTGGAGTAGAGCACTCGACTTGTGCACTGTATATTCTATGTTCAGCACCTTTTCCCTATTTTAGTCTTCACATACTGCACTTGGAGACAGTATGAAGGACATGTGATATCCTTCTTGCTGCAATTACAGCAGCCAAGATTTACACAGTTTAAATGATACAATTTCCAAGAGCTACAGTACATAGGTTCTTCCTTTAATTTTTGAGAAACCTCATTGTCAGAAACTACCACATTTTTGTGACTTTTAGAGGAACACCCACATTTCACTGAATCAGTGGATTTTCAGTCTTCACTGCAGAGACAAATCATCCGCACAATATCATTGTGCATATTGAGTATGTCACCAGACACAACCTACTTTACTCACTTGTAAGAGATCTACAACTCTTAAAAAAGCACTATCCTTCATATATTAAATACATAGAAAATAATAAAAATAATTGTTTTAACACAATGGCAAGAGAGCACCAGCAAGATTTTGAAGATTGTTTTGGTGACTTAAAACAACAGTTGTTGATAATTTTGGCACTGTACATCTAAGACAATATCATTGTATTTTATCATTGCTGGTGTTAATCCATCTTGGATTCATAATTACATTGGGGTTCTTTCTTTACAGGGTAGGATTTGCATGCAAAACATGTATTGTATTCATGTACTGTAGCATTGAACTGTAACACACACATGTCAGGGTGAAGAGAACTGTGAGCTGCAGATGTTTGTTCGCTCATCAGTGAAGCTGTCACACCTGCTGGAAACTATGTTCTTTTACTCATCATTTTGTGGGCAGAACTCAGCATATCAACCTTTTATGTAAATACTTTGCTTTAAATCTCATTTTAAGATTTCTGTTTTAATTGAAGGTGTGAAAATGAACAGCTATTGCGCTTGAAAGGTGCAAATTTCCAATATTGACAAAAAACTGAAATTAATTCAGCTATGAGATATTATGTGTGTTTCCCTCTGTTCTAAGCTCTCATAATTTTATGAGAGCTTAAAAATGGGAAAAAAAAGTTTCTGTAAAAAATATTTTGCAGAAAGAATTTCCTCTGTCTTTGTCATATTAAAGTTAAAAAGCTAGAAGGAAAATTCTCCAGGGTCATGGTCTGCTGTTAGAGAATCAAGATAAGCAAGTCTGCAAACATTCTGGTCCAAGTGTACTGTAACAAAAATAAATTGTCTCAGAGAGCACTAGCATACTATGATTTAAAATTTGGAAATACTATTCACAGATACAGTAGGCTGGGGCACTCAACATGTTGTTTTATCTCCCTCTCAGTTCACAAATATCTTTGCATCCCGAACCACATCTCTCCTCACTCATAATATACTGTGTGCATCAATATGTAAACACATACAGTACAAACTATAAGAGTACGTTAGTTGGCACATTTTTTTCGCTTCTTTTTTTCCATTTGACATATTGAAGTATAGTAAAAGTGTCCACTGGAGAAAAAGACAAAAAAGAAGTGAGACATGTTAAATATTTTGCATTGCAAAAAGAAAAGCCAGTTGCTCTCTGTTACTTTCATTTGGTAAACTAAGAGTATACAGTATATCTATATATAAGTTATATACAGTATTTTAAATGTTAATTCCCATAAGAAAACAAGGAAACTTGTGGTGTAAAATATAATTTTCCTGCAGTTGCAAAGTTCAGAAATATTCCTGCAGAGTGCCACACAACAATTAGTCATAACAAATGGAGTGGATTTGGTGTTGTTTTTCTTTTCCATAGTGTTTGAATTTTTAAATTTTAAAATTTAAATCTGTTTTACAACAACTCACTTCCAATTTAGACGGTCATTAAATGTTTTCAAAGTACCCATAATATGTGTGATCAATTTTTATTAGGTTTCTGTTTTACATTGAACAGGAACTAATGTTTTACATTTCTCTTAGTGTGCACCACAGTCAGATAGATTCCTTAGATACACAATAAGTTTCAGTTCCTTAATGAGATTAACTGAATACTCCTGATTCTTAAACCACTTTGACCAGTGAACCATAGTGTTTGAAGAAGGGACTTACCAGAGATCAGTGTAACATGGACTATGGTTTTAACACAGCATCCAAAAACTTCAAAGGTCCAAGTGTAATTGTTTGGCATACTATTTTAAGCTTTTCTATTGCCTCATTTCAGTTGAAGATCCACTTTCATAAAATGTTTTGGAACTTAAGATTGTCTGTCTGATAAGGTTAAGATCTTTCAGTTTAGATATACAGTATATGTAGTGGAAAGGAACTGTAGTTTACCCACTTTCTTCTGTGTATTTGTATGACTTGTTTGTTCAGTTTTATATCTTGTTTTACAAGGAAAGCAAACTGTCTAATTCCTGGAGTTCTGTATAGCAAACCTAAGGCTAGTTAAATACCTCACAGTGCTCTTAAGAACATAAGAGAGGTTACAAACTAGAGGATGACATTCAGCTCATCTTTCCAGTTTGGGCTTTGCCTCAAATGGCTTAACACCACCTGTAAGCTAGGATGTTAAGTTATGTATTTACTAACATAATGAAAATGCTACTTTGTTCTGCTAGAGTTTTGATGCACTTATTGTATTTACACATGAATTAAACAGCCATGGGGGTATTTCTCTCAGAGCAGGATCACAAATCCTTTTTTTGATCAAATTAGAGCTTGCATACTTTGAAATCTAATGATGAGTCTATGCTCACAAAAATATGTCAGATAGTCACAAAGTGATAAAACAATATACTTTAAACATAAAAAAACAGAAATTATATCTATTTGATTTTGGGGATGTTTTTGGTGTCAGCTGACCATTTTTCTAATCCATGTTTGGGTAACACAAACTCAGCTCATCATCATAGGAATGGACAAGATGGTAAATTCAATA